ACTTCAGCTGCAAGGTTTCCTCGGAAGGAGCTGTCTCCTCTAAGACTTCATTAAAACTAGAGGGGCAAAGGCTTAAGAGTTTGGAATTTCATCCACCCCCTTCACCATATAGGAACCTGTTGTGGCCCAGCAGGAGCCGTTGGAGCTGCAGATGCACTCCGATAGCGAGGAACCCTATGAGTCGGCTATGGAGGATGTAGAGGACCCTGGGCAGGGTTCAGACTCTGAGTAGGGACTAGGGAGGCTGGTTGGCCACCAGGAGGCGCCTGAGGCAGGGAGCAGTGGGGAAGATCAAAGGGAGTTTGTCTTGACGCCCGGCAACAAAGGGCGGAGGAACAGAAGCAGCAGTTACGGAGACAGACTCTTAAGAGATAATCAAGCCCAGGTAGTTGTGGCTTGGCTTCTCCCAAGAGAGTATATAAGAAGAGACTTTGGGAGGAGACCTTTTGCAGGACACAACCATTCATAACAAGTTGGAGAAGCTCTTGTTCGTATTGTATCTCTTGTCTGTGGTAGTCTGGGTTGCTGCCAAGGTCTTGCCAGTGAGTCGTGTTGACCTTTCTTTCAGCCAACAGGATTGTAATTGCTGTAAATAAAGAGTGGCAAACTTCTAAGCCTGTGTCGGCGTTAATCACCGGACGGAGGAGGGTCAGAACAGGAACCTATATATTTGTGTTGCATCTGGTCATTGCCTTTGTGCCCTTGTGTTTCACTTGCACTGTGCACGTGTATTGACACAAGATAATATTTGTAGCTCAGGGTTGAACTGTGGGTCCCTAGTGCTCTCTGAGCTTAGTGATTTTCTTGCAGACATTCCATGACCCAACTAGGTAACATCATCAGTGCTATGAGGGAGTGGGGCATGTGGAGGAGAGGAGGAGGATGATAACAACTATTGTGGGGTCCCTGGTGCTCTCTGAGCTTAGTGATTTTCTTGCAGACATTTCATGACCCAACTAGGTAACATCATCAGTTTCTCTCTCTTCTCCTCCTCCCTCCCTCTCTCTTTCTCTCTCACACACATACCCATCCATCCATCCATCCATCCATCCATCCATCCATCC